ACTGTCTATGCCTTCAATCTCATGCAGGCATGTTTACCTTTGTGGCACATAGAAGGTTTTTGTTAAACAAAGAAAACTGTTAGTATACACACGCAAATGTTTGTCTGCCTCCTCAGTTCACTGTTACCAGACACCAAAATGGTCTTGCCAACTCTTTGTCCTAGCTTTATGTCTCCTGGCTGTCTTTACCCCTGCACCCTTTTCACGCTTTACATGAGAACTCACATTGGATGGGTTTTAACGAACCAACCAAAGAAGCTCACATGAACTATGTAATAGAAATTTTGAAAATCAGTAGTAAACACAGAAATGTAAAACAATGTTTATCATCATACAAGACTGTCCATGGTATCCATTCCAATGTTGGCTATCCCCTTCTATAACCTACAGATGAAAAGAAACACCCATTTTCAGAAACTGGGACCCTCCACTACTGGTGGGCTTGAAAAACAGTTCAGCTGCTAGGAAAACAGTTTGGGGATACACAAGAAGTTAAACACAGAATTATAATATGATCCAGTCAATTATATTCCTAGATATATGCCCAGAGGAACTAAAAGCAAAAACACAAAACATATACGTGTACACCAGTGTTCACTGCGACATTATTCATAATAACTAAAAGTTGGAAACAAATGTCTACTAACAGATAAGTGAATAAACAAGTGGCATACACACACCAAAGCAACTCACAGAGACCCTAAAGGAGAGAATAGAAACTCTGAGTTTCTGAGACTGTAACTATTGGCCAAAGCCCCCTCTTTCTGCCAAGGGCCAGCTAAGGGTTTCAAACTGCTGACCTTGAGGATTGCAGCCCGAGGTAAAACCACTAAATCACTGAGGTTCCTATACATACAGTGAAACATTATTTGGCCATAAAGAAAAATGAAGAATGAATACATGCTACAGACATAGATGAAAATGTTGTGCAGATTGAAATTATTATGAACCTTGAAAACGCCGTGCAGATTGAAATTATTTAAGTCAAATATAAAGATGCTATAACCCCCAGTTACATATATGAACTGTCTAAAGTTGGTAAATATCTAGTAATGAAAGTTTCTTAGTGGTTACCAGGGGCAGAGGGAAGGGGAAAGTCTTGCCTAGGGATCACTGGGCTTCCAGTTAAGGTGATGGATGCATAATATGGTGAACACTACCAACATGAATTATTCATCTAGAAAAGTGTCCAAATGGTATATGTTTAGTTAGCTATACCTACTTATTCCGATTTAGAAGTTCACAGTTTTAAGTATTTACTATTTACAGTGACACTCCAAGAAAAATCCCTAATAATCTGTCCATTTTACACAATATACAAATAAAACATTTAAAAAGTAATTTCTTCTCTACATTTCCTTGAAATCATATGATTTATAAAAATGTGCATCAAAATTATTTAGAAAGACATGATACTGATGAAACAAAACTGATTAGACTCACTGTTGATGTTTTGTGATATGTCTAAGAAAGACTACCATTCTCTTTACTTTCCTACATACTGAAATTTTCCATATTAAAAATATGCATACACACATTTTTAAAAGGGGAGGGGGTTTTTCCTTGACCAATATCCTACTGTCCATATTTTAACCTCATTGAATTTTTGGTCCATTGCATAGAAGAATTTCTCTACTAATAAAAATACAACTCATTAAAGATTAACTTGCCCCCAGGACAGTCTCTCTGGAAACAAATTCCAAGCATTATAATCACCAATTTGCACTTTGTTGACTTAGAGGCAGACAATCTTATTTATCCTGAATTAACTTGGAGACCTCCACATATTTTAAGGTGATTGGAAAAAGAAAAATGGCAAATACAAACAGAAACGAATCAGAAACTCAACCAAGCAAATACAGACTTTTATTTACTTTACATTTTTCTAATGAAATGCTTTCCACCAACAAACATATAACAATATTAGAATATGTTTAAGTGGTCTACTTTGGTTATTACATATCTTGTTTCTACAATTATGAAATGTTTTAAATCTGGTATAATCAAGATTCTCTTGTTCCTTAAATCAAATATAAACTATGTATTAGATATCGTGGCAGACACTGAGAAAACTCTTAAATCCACGAGATAATATTTATGTAACAGTTTTGAAGCAATTACTATTTACTAAACTCTTATCATTTTTCAAGCACATTTATAAGTTTGGACTTCGCCAGCATTATCTTTCTCAATTCTCACAAACCTCTAAAGAAAATACCAAGACCAACCCCATTTTGCATATGAACAAACAGAGGCAGTGAGAGACCCAGGACGTGGGATTTGAGACCCAGGTCTAGGTGATCTAAATGCTCCCATTTACTATCACCACCTGGACCAAAGCAATGAAGTCCATCATTATGTTGGGCTGAGGAAACTGGTCTCCTTGTTTCAAGCATGGTGGCCCGAGTGCATCATAAACTGCCCTGGGGCACGGGCCACTGGCTTCTATCATTAAAAGTACGTACTCGAAGTTTACTTTCTTAGGAATACTTCACTTGTAGGTGATTTCGCAAAGTTAATAAAAGTACTACTTAGATAATTAGTGAGTCTTGGAGTTGAAAAGTGACTATTTCATTATATATAGATATATGCAGATATATAGGCGTCCTGGTGGGTAGTGGTTACAAATTAGGCTGCCAACCACAAGCGCAGCTGTTTGAACCCACCAGGGGCTCCGTGGGAGAAAGACAAGGTTTCGACTCGGGTAAAAAGTTACAGGCAAGGAAACCCACAGGGGCAGCGCTAGCCTGCCTTACAGAGTCACTATGAGTCAGCACTGACGCGATAGCAGTGAGCTTTATACATATAGAGAGAGAAAGAGATTGCTGGGAAATGTTAACTCCATTTTTCTGTAAAAAACAAAACAAAACGTAATTTTGCAAAAATTCTTTTGAACCACCTAAGACCAAAATAATACTTCTACGAACGAGAACGGTTTCAAGTATGTCTTTGCAAATATCCTTTAATTAAAAGGTTTTTTCCTATTTTTTAAAAAGGAATGTCTCATTTATATCGCATTCATTTTAAAAAAATAAGGCTACTTCTAAAGCACACTTAGGCACAGGGGCTTTCCAGAAGCCAGTATCTCTATCATTATTTAAACAAAACCCAGACTCACTGCCATCGAGTCAATTCTGACCTACAGTGACCCTACCAGGCAGGGTAGAACTGCCGTTGTGGGTTTCCAAGATTGTAACTCTTAACTGGAGTAGAAAGTCTCATCTTTTCCACAGAGCTTCTAGTGGTTTCGAACTGCTGACCTTTCAGTGAACAATCCAACCCATAACCCCTATGCCACCAAAGCTCCTTTTTTATATATACAAGGAGACATTAAAAGGTTCATGGGAAATAGAATGAAAAAATAATGGAATCTATGCATTTTTGAATGAGGAATTCCCTTGTATGTGCACATGCCAAACACATAAAGGAGAAACAGTACTGTTAGTGACTCTTCTTTCACATTGTTGCAAACTCAGGCGGATGTGTTCAATCCAAATAATCCTACAACAATCTTTTTCTCAAACAAATTTAATATTTTGTTTTCTCATAAGAAAAAAAACTAGGAAAATACAACAGCACATCTCAAATAGCTAAAACGAGTTACTGATAGGTGCCTGGGCTTTTCATTTCTAAAACTGTCTTGCACTATTCTTAGTTGAAAAGTTTATCACGGAAAGTTGTCAAATTTGAAAGAAAAATAGGTGAGAGCATGAAAGAGCCAGGCATGACAAGCATTAGGGATGTTTATCAATGAAAACAGGCAGCAAGGGAGATGCGTTTGTCACACATCCAAAAAAGACACGCCAAACACGGCTGCTGTTCCTTTCCACCAAGTTATTGTTTGGGAACACATGTAGTTCTCTCTGAAAATAACCTGCTTAATTGGTTTTAAAAGCCACTGCATTTCCAGGGAGTGCAAAATCACTCCCAGTTTGAGATGCATTTGCTGATAAAGTGCAATTAAGTTATGCATGAAGCCGCAAAAGACAGTTTGGAAAGCTCCGATCTTCCCATGATATAAGGACACTAGCTACCGAATCTCCAGTGTGCTCTGAATGAATCTTTATCAAGCGCCCTTGGTCAGGCTAGTGCTCGGTCCTCCGCCCTGATTTTAAGGATGACAGTCATTCAAACTATCTCACTTGTCTCTTTGGATAGGGGAAATGAGCCATATTGGTGACTAGTAGGCTGGTAATTAACATTTTTAAGGAAGGTCAAGATGACCTTGGTCATTGCAACATTCACTCGGAGGAATTGAGTCCTAACCTTATAGCTCAGACTTAGTGTCCAGTTCGGTGTGGACAACAAAACTGGAAGAATACCGAGAAACTAGAGAGTCGGGGGTGGGGGTGGGGGAAAGACGCTCCAGATTGTGAAAAAGCCAAGTCAGACCCCCACCGTGCAGCAAGATCCTTAGGAACTGAGCGTGACCCAAGATGTCTTTTGTAAGCCTGTGAGCGAAGGAACACACGCTGTCCTCTCAAACACAGCAGCACTGCCCTGACCCCGCCGCCCCGTGCCGGCCGCTCTTACTCGGGGCTCCAGTCTGACATCTGCAATCGTTTCCCAGCAGCGGGACGAGGCCCTTCAGCTGGAGGGGGTGGACACTGACCAGGGGACAGAGTTACCCAGGCCCAGGGAGACCGGACTGTCAGGGCGGAGAGGGGGCTCTCCACACGCACTCTGCGCGGTCCGAGCGGGGTTGGATGGCACCACCCAGGTGTCTCTCCAAAGTCCAGAGCGCAACTTGGGCGCGTCTGAACCCCCCGGGCCCTCAGTGTTGCTGAAGGCCGGCCAGGTAACACGGGGGCTTCCGCTGCCTGGAGACCCCGAGAGAGAGCCGCCGGGCTCTCCAGTCCTCGGATGTCCCCGTTGGGCTCCGCGGAGGAGGGGAGCCAACCGAGAGCCCAGTCTGCCGCGGGCCCGCGGGCCGGCGCTGGGACGTCCGGGAAGGGCTGGGGGAGCGGTCCCGGAGTCCGAGGACGCGGGGGGCTGCCTACCTTGTAACATGGCCTCAAGTTTCTTCCTGTCCACGCGGAAGCGCTCCTCGCTCCACTCGGGGCTGTGCAGGGACGCGCCGGCGACCAGGTCGTCCTCGGAGCCGGGCATGGGCGAGTCGGTGCTGCGCTCGCTGTTGGAGCCCGGGTCCGACTGCGCCGCCAGAAAGCCGGACTCGCTC